GGATCGGTTTTCCCGGTTTTACGATTCCAAGTCTCGGGCCTAATTACTATGTTGCAAGAATTGACTTCAAACCGAATGGGTGAACTCACAACCGAGCAACTCGGATCCTAATCCGGTCCAGTTGACTACTGACTTATAAACATGATCATCAGGAAATCCCGACGACTCACTTGGGTACGGCTCGGACCTGACCCACCAAAACTAGATAAATTTGGAAAAAAATCAAAAACATAGTGGAGCCTAAAATGTATAATATGTGAGATGAAAACCTTCATCTACCGTATGATTTTTCATAATCCACACCAAGTCTACCACATAGACAAGCTTGTTTGGTGTAATCCTTGAACATTACTATACCTTTTGTTTTTTTGAAAGGGAAAAGCTTATTTTAAATTCATAGAACCAACCATCCCACATCAGCACTAACTCAAACCTACCCTCTAGCCTGAGCCAATAGATCATCTCACTCTCTAATCAGATATAAAATAGACTACTCAATATTGAGCAAGCTTAATCACTGAACATGCTAGAGATCGAAAACTATTATTGGCCAGAATAACATGATTGCTTCCGTTCAAACTAAACATCAAAACAAAACAAAAAGTAAACTATCTACACAAAATATTAATTTAGAGAAATAATGGCTTACCCTATTGGGTGCCTTAGCATCGTATTTAAAATAAAACAGAGTTATGAAAATTACACAATTATACTTAGATAATAAATTATTACACTCCCTCAATCTGTGCAAGGGAAACAACGCACATATTGGAACGAAAAAATTCAAATCGCTGACTAGATAACTTTTTAGTACAATTGAGTTGGAATGTATTTGACGTCGAGATCCCCATGAGCCACATGTTCTCTAACAAAGTGATATCAAATTTTGATTCGCATGCTGCGATCATGCTAAATTGGATTGACAGCCAAGTAGGATGCAGAAAAGTCACAATGAAGCTAAACAAGAGCAGAAGTAAAAATATCCATATCCACCAACAGCGAACGAATGAATAGTTTGTTCTGAACATTATAAGTAATGACCCTGTACTCAACTTCGGTGGAAGATTTGGACACCGTTGGTTGTTTCTTGGACCACCATGATATTAAATTTGAACCCAGAGAAACTGCATAACCGATAGTGGAACGGGAGCTATCCGGGTAACCCGCCCAATCTGCATCAAAATAAGCCATAATGACAAAAATATTCCTGTCACATCGCAGCCAGGGACCGTGAGATGATGTTCCCTGTAAATACCTGTAAATGCGCTTGACAACTAATAAATGAGCAGTGTATGAAGAATGCATAAACTGAGACATCAGATGAACAACATGTGTAATATCGGGTCTAGTTATAATCAAGTACTGAAGAGCACCTACCATACTGCGATACTCTTAGCATCAAATAAAAGTTCCCCAAATGTGGGAGAAAGGGTGGTGTGTGAAGGAAGTGGAGTGTGTACAAGTTTAACTATATGAAGATGAAAACGATGTAAAAGGTCAGATATATATTTTGCATGTGACAGAAACAGATCAAGACATGTACGCGTGGCTTGAATTCCCAAGAAATAGAGAACGTCTCCCAAATCCTTCATGGCAAACTAAAGAGATAAAGTATGGATAAAGGAGTGAGGAAGAAGAACATGTGATTAAAATATCATCCACATATGAGGAAGAAGAACATGTGATTAAAATATCATCCACGTAGGAGGAAGAAGACTTAACAAATGAGGAAGAAGAACCCGTGATTAAAATATCATCCACGTATAAAAGAATATATACAACCTGTGACTGAGAACGGTAAACAAGCACGGACGAATCAGACTTACTCTGTGAAAAACCACGACTCAACATCAAGTCATTGAAACGATGAAACCAAGCTTTAGGGGCTTGTTTCAGATCAAAAAGAGCCTTACGTAGGCGACATACATGATTAGGGAAAGAGGGATGAACAAAACCCTAAGGTTGACGCATATAATCTTCTTCAGTTATATAGCCATGTAAGAAGCATTTTTCAAATAAGACGAATAGTAGCAGGTTTAACAACACAACTAAAATTTTTCATAAAATCAATACCCGCATGTTGTTTAAACCCTTGAGCAATTAATCGAGCTTTATGATGCTCAATAGACGCATCATAAATATATTTTGACTTATAAATCCACTTACAACCAACCACATTTTTAGTATGATCCCAAGGTACGAAATCCCAAGTCTTGTTAGCAATTAAAGCATTAATTTCTTCAGCCATGGCCGCCCGCCAAATAACACTCTTATTAGCCTATGTGAAATAAGTCGGATCATTCGGGGAGAAAAGACACTTAAATTAAAAATGATTTTTGATTTAAAAATATCATCCTTGGCATGAGTGCACATGCGGTGAATGCAAGCCGTCAGTGATTGGGTGGGTAATAAGCCTACTGGTGCGGCGGGGGAAATAGGTGATGAGGGTAACCTGGGTGATGGTGTAGTAGGTGGGGAGTCGGGTGGTGTGGTGTCTGGTGGTGTGGTCGCCAGAGATGACGTCTGGTCGAAGGAGGACTCTATTGGTAGATGGGTCGGGCTATGTTATGGGAGTGGGCTGTTTCGGGTGGTGGGGGTAGGGAATAATTAATATGAGATGAGGAAGAAAACTAGGACGACGGAGATCGACAAACCAGGGGTTAGGGTAGTAGAGTTGGAGACCAAGGTAGGACAGGGAAAAATATTTTCGTGGAAGCAATAAAATATTTGCGTAGAGCGTGGTAAGAGCTTGTTGTGAGATGCAACAATAAAATTAGGGAAACATGAGCAACCAAACACACACACAAAATTATAATCCGGAATTTTATTAAAAAGTTTTTCATACGGTGTAAGTCCGCTCAAAATAGGTTTAGGGAGACGATTAACAATGAATGTGGCAGTATAAAGAGCATCTACCCAGAATTGACAAGAAATAGAAGAATCAATCAAGATAGTGTTAGTTAATTCTAGTAGATGTTCATGTCTTCGTTCAGCTTCATCATTTTGAGAGGGAGTATCATGACAAGACTTTCTAAATAAAATTTCAGAGCTCAAAAAATGCTGACGAAAAATAGGATTATCAAATTCTCCACCACCGTCACTTTGAAAAAATTTTATTTTCAAATTTAAAAGATTTCCAATTAATTTTTGAAAATTAGAGAAGTGACTAAAAACCTCATATTTTGTACGCATAAGATAAACCCAAGTATATCTAAAAAATCATTTATAAAGGACACATAATATTTATAACCAAGATTTGAAAAATTTGGAGACTGCCAAACATAAGAATGAATAAGTTGTAAAGGAGATGTAGAGTCATGAGTAGCATCACTAAAAGGAAGTGTGTGAGATTTATCCAACTTACAACAAACACAATCATGAGTGAATGAAGAAGAACTAGAATGTAATTTATTTTGCCTAAGACTACAAATAACTCTATCACCACAATGCCCAGACATTTGTGTCAAATCGGACCAAGTACAACTCGGGCTTGAAAGACATTGAAAGGGTAGACATGGTCTTTATTAGTTGCCTGAAGAAGTCCCCCCGTTTGATTGCCCTTAACAAAAAGTTTTATATCAAATATCACTTGACAGACATTGCCCGCACATAATTTATGAATAGATAATAAATTGTATTTAATGTGAGGGACATGATAAAATGAGTTGAGATGTATCAAGCGTCGTGACCGCAGTGATGGTAGAAGCGGTGGTGCCAGTGATAGGATGATTGTGATGTAGAAAACTCTAAGCGACTGATACCATATACAAAATAATAATTTTGGGAAATAATGACTTACACTATTGGGTGCCTTAGCATCGTATTTATAATAACATAAAGTTATAGAAATTACACACTAATCCCTAGACCATATATTATTACTATTTACCCCAATATCAATGATAAAGATAAAAACACTAGAAAGCTAAACTTAAAGAAAACGAAACAAAGTAAACATGACTTCCGGAGCTTGTTCACTTTACGCTCTTCTTGTTAGTTGTTACAGTTAACAAATAATGATAAATTATTTGTTAATGATAAAATAATAATTAATGATAATACCACTATTATGTGTTGATTATGTGTTGGTTGGGTTTTTTGGCGTCGACCAGATTGACGATCGGGCCCTAATTGACCCGTGATCCCACCATTCAGGTGGATCTTACTGAGTTTGATTTTTACAACACAGTGAAATTATAGGTACAAAGTACAATTTATATATCAAAATTTATATGTAATTAGTATAGTGATGGAATATAATTCCGGCGGAAAGAGCTTGATCTATCAAATATAATCGAGTATTTATAGATGTAGTATTGTACAATTAATAGGAAACTTAATTATTGTAATTAATGACTCTAATCATAGTAGGATTCTTGTACCGTTCCTCTTATAACTCATGTATTTAATGTTTCCTCTGTGCTCATGACTCTTCTAAGCTCTAGGAATATCCCGACCTCACTAGAACTCCACCCAGGCTCGAGGTCTGCTGTCCAACCTGACCTGATTGTGGATCCCAGTGACTCGTTCTTGAGCCTTAGGAAGAGTCCGACCTCCACGGGCTAATCACTGAGCCTGGCGCCTGCTGTCCAGGTCGGCTTAGGCGTGGCCAACCTCATAGTGGATTTGGATCTCTCTGTTCAGATCCAGCGGCTAATTAATATTAATCCCGTGATGGGCTGATCTCGTTGATGAGCTGATCCCGTTGATGGGCTTTGCTTTGATTCAATCTTGGGCCATGTTACTGATCCATAGTACCATCATATAGTTTTATAAATTTAAACATGATTATCAACAAATGTAATATAATAACAAATTTAATATTAAATAAAGGTCACAAATAACACGTTTAGTCACTTATAATTTTGTTTTGGTGAATTCATATCTTTATCTTTTATACGGAGTACCATATACGGAGTATTTATTTTTATTTTAATAATAATAATAATAATAATAATAATAATAATAATAATAATAATAAAAGGCCTCTTTGTTACCTCCTCGTCTAAACAATTGTCCTATTTCGTTGTTCATAATTTGGTACTCATTGAACAACTGTCGATTCACTCCGATTGTGATTTTCAGCGATCCAGATTACAATGGCTTCTTTCACAATAGCATCTGCTTCTCCCTCGTCTTCCCTACCTGTGCAAACGAAGCTAAAGGTTGGTGACAATTTGGAATACTAAATTTATTTGTTTGGTGTCGCTTCACTTTTCTATTGATAGAGGATTTAATTGTGCTGGATTTGATTGTTTTAACTCGGTGAAATGTGTTTCTGCTCTCGCTTATTTTTAAGCAGGTAAAGTCGAAGCTCCGCGGCTATGGCCAGTTTTCGCTCTTTGGCCAGGATTTCATGAACACAACAAAGGTGTGGCTTTGATTTACAGAGTGTTTTACAATAATTTCATTTCGTAGGTTTTGGTAAACATAGAGACAATGAAAATTAACAATTGGAATTCTGTTGCTTTAATAATTTAATTCACAATAAAAGAATATGAATATATTCTACATCCGGGGCGGATCTAGGAATGAAAGGTGAGGTGAGCTAAGTAGTAAAAAAATTGTTACTACACACGCAAGGTTTAGCTCAGCTTTATTATCGAACCAATTTTTTTTTTTTGAACTGCTCGTGTTCGAGCTTGATTTCGAATCTAATGTAACTACTCGAGCTTAAGGAGCTTCAAACTCTGACATGGGCTACATTTTAGTTCGAATAGTTATTCAAGCCGAGTTCTAGCATGTGATGTTCAGTTCGATCCCGACTCGAGCTCATTGATCCCTTATAAGTTACTCCCTCCGTCCCATTTAAATGTTTCCGTCCACTATTCTCCGGTCAACGTGCATTGTTCTTAATCTTTTACTTTATATATCCAACTTTTATCAAATTTAAATTTTCTTGATCAGACTTTGTAGCGGTTTTAATGTAGTTTCTGAATATGTAAATTTTATTTACTAAAATTAGTTCTACTAATGACAAAGATCAGTTACCTTTATGGTCAGTCAAACGTCGTTAACCGCGTGGGAACGTTTAAATGGGACGGAGGGAGTAAAATAATAAATTATACATCATAAGTTTGTCTATCTTAAAATTTAAACGTTTTAATGCGATTTTATAAATTTATTAATGATTATTAAAGATTTGAGTATTTATTGAATACTTCGAATACGAATCTATTAATGAGCATAGTCTAAACTTCTACATTCGAGCTTATCGAACATTATAATCGAATATTGAAAATCTATTGAGCCAAACTTGAGCTCAATTTTGTACTAGGTAAATATTCATTTCATTGTTTTGATGTAGCATTTTAATGGTAATTTCATGTGTATATTACATGACCATTAACACGTTAAAATTTTGTATATGAAATTATTCTCTAATATTCAATTGTATATGCAATGATGATGTACCCCGTAGTATTAAAAAATTACATGGACTAACCAAGCATTCCAGCTCAGCTAGTTGTGAGGTTACCGTGCCTAGTGGGAGGTCTCGAGTTCGAAACTCGCTAGGCACATAAGGGTTTGAAACTCAATGGATGTAGTTTCAGCCCTGATTACTCCAGGCCCCCAACCCCCTCCCCCAGATGCCCCTGGAGTAAAAAAAAGTTACATGGACTAAAAGTATGAATTACATTTTAAATTAATCTTTAAGACTTTCACTTATAATCCTACACCTATAATATTTTTTTATAGACCTATACCTTTAATTAAAAAAAATTGGTAAAATGCTTACATCATACTAAAATGCCAATGTTCTTAATAATCTTATACGTGACCCATGTTGTGGAAACTGGTAATCTTAGTTTTAATTGTTTATCTTCGCCACAGTCTCATGGTCGGATAAGAATGGCTGCAACTGTTAATGTTTCTCGTTTTGAGGGCATAACAATGGCCCCTCCTGACCCCATCCTTGGAGTGTCTGAAGCATTCCGAGCTGATACAAATGATGTGAAACTTAATCTTGGAGTGGGAGCATACCGTACTGAAGATCTTCAACCTTATGTTCTTGATGTCGTCAAGAAGGTAACTTCATTTGATTCACTTCAATATACAAGCCAATAACTGATGAAGTATGTCCGCGGGTCTTGTGTATTCATCTTTCCGAAGCATACTATATGCTTCAACTCTGTAGTAATTACAACTAATGACGATGCCAAAATGGAGACTGATTTGCAATTTATAATCTTCTACATTGTTATTTATTCTCCATAGGCCGAGAACCTTATGCTACAGAATGGAGAAAACAAAGAGGTACCCAGCATGATTGTCTGAATATCATTTTGACAGAAACATTTTTACTATCTCGGAATTCTCACTGTTTAGCATTTCAAAAATCCACACACATATACAGTATCTCCCGATAGAAGGTCTGGCTGCCTTTAACAAAGCCACTGCAGAATTATTGTTTGGCGCTGACAATGAAGTGATTCGACAACAAAGGGTATCATAAATCTTTTTTCTTCTGTTTTTAAACAATCAGATTGAACATATTTGATATTTGGTTGGCTCAGGATCATTGTAACATATTTTCTCTGTATTGTTCAGGTGGCAACTGTTCAAGGTCTTTCAGGAACTGGTTCTCTACGACTTGCAGCAGCACTGATTGAGCGTTATTTCCCGGGATCAAAAGTTTTTATTTCATCTCCAACTTGGGGTGGGTATCATTCTTTGTAATATTTATTTGTGCTATATGTAGTCACTGGTTGTAAACTTATCATCCCACTACTTTTTTCAGGTAATCACAAAAACATTTTCAATGATGCCAGAGTACCTTGGTCTGAGTATCGCTATTACGATCCAAAAACAGTTGGTCTAGATTTTAAAGGGATGCTTGAAGATATTAAGGTCATTCCTTCATTGTTTGTTTTGTTTCATAGAATTCGTACCTACTGCCAAACAAAGCAAAGTCAGATTTTGAAGATTTTCCATAGTGAGTAGTTTCAAATGGTAGATTCCCACTTTTGGTGCACAAGTTGGATTTTTCCGCTACTTTAGAATCATTCCAGTTGCTTAGTCGGCCAATTTGGCTGCAGTTGATTTTTCGCTCCATAAGAGATGAGGACAAAAATCGGGAAGTAATATATAGTCATGCACTAAGGGGCAGTCCGGTTCACGAAGGCATCCCCGCAAGGCGAGGATGCGGGGAAGGGTCCCACCACAAGGTTGTATAAGGGGCAAGCCTTCCCCATTTCTGAAGTCAGTGACCAACAGTGAAAACAACCCACTTATCGTGGGCCTAAAAGTGGAGTATTAACTTGATTTACTAGCCCACGTATTTTTTGTGCTTCTCCCAAAAAGGAGTTTGATTTGTTACTTCGATAGAAAATATTTTAACCACATTTGTGTAAAACCAATGTATTCGTTATTATTTTATTTTCTTGCATCGAAGCATCATAAATTAGTAATTGTTTACAGGCTGCTCCTGAAGGATCATTTATCTTGCTGCATGGATGTGCTCACAACCCAACTGGTATTGATCCTACACCTGACCAGTGGGAAAAGATTGCAGACTTAATCCAAGAGAAGAACCACATTCCCTTTTTTGATGTTGCCTATCAGGTATTTTCTTCGGACATCCAACTCAGGTTCACATCGTTCAAATATTATTGGAGATCAGAAGTGTTAAATTGGTTCTAACTCTGATAGTTAATGGAAGAATCCAAGTAGAAAGTAGTAGTATATTAATGAAGATTTAGTGAGGGAATACAGAAAGTAACGAAAGAAAAGGTTTGAGACTCTTCAAGTGGTCTCTCACTCCCAATATTCCAATCCCGATCCCAAGTTCTCCTCCTCATCTACTCACCACTCACCCTTATTTATTCTATTTCTAATGGGCCAGCCCACTTCTATTTAGTTATAAGGCCTAAAACCCTATTAATGACCAATATTAAAATAACTTGATAAGACTCTAATTATTTGTAGTGCCCATGTCCCTAACAAACTCTTTCTTAAAGGATACACATTTGTGTGGTTAGGGGTGGACAACATAAATTTCTATAGCTGAGTTAGTTTTCTTGCCCTCACCAAATTTGAATACTTAGTGATCCTAGCTATGCCTATGCTGACTCCTATACACTAGAGTGACTAGACTCAAATTCAACGGCATTAGACAATCGTGGTAGAATACTTAGCACACACCCCACCAAGCCGGGTTGGATAGCTGAATAGGTGTATAAATAGAGAAAACCAAGACAGGCTGCTAAAAAGTCAAAACCATCGAGTGGGTGCCCCCTCACAAACCACCACCAAACAAGCTCTAATGCTAGGTTGATGTCATATTAAATTTGTGTAGTTCACCCTAAATAGACACTCCAAAAGGTTATTAAAAGATATGGACATATGGTTTACCTTACTAATACATATTAACCTCAACTTCAGGGATTTGCAAGTGGTAGCCTTGATGAAGATGCATCATCTGTGAGAATGTTTACTGCTCGTGGTATGGAGCTTTTTGTTGCTCAGTCCTACAGTAAAAATTTGGGTCTTTATGGTGAAAGGATTGGGGCTATCAATGTTGTTTGCTTATCAGCAGATGCAGCGACAAGGTGAAATACCCTTCTTTCCTTCTCATTCATGGGGCTAAAGTGGTTGCAATCAGAATTATGAGAGAACCATGGGTGGATATAGGGGGGGGGGGGGGGGCAATCTAGGCCCTGGCCCACTCCAAATTTAAAAATGCCTTAATTTTTAAGGTAAAAAATTCCTTGTTATTTTTTCCCCAAAAACATTCTTTGTACGGGCCCATTGCCCTGGCTCCACCCCCGGAGAGAACCCACAGTCCCACAATAGTTAGCTACTTTAACTGTGTTATTTATAGCCCTTTTGGGGAAAGTTATTTGGCTAATCTGGTGAACTTTATGAATGGAGAAGCATCTGACAATACCCATTTTGATGTGGATCTCAAGTGACTTCCTTAAATACCTAACACCCTTGTTGGAACCACTGTAGTCTCAGGAATTCAAGAGAGAAAAGTTAGTGACCCTCTGCTAGGAGACTAGGACCGACAAAGCACTTGAACTATACTCTCCCATGATCATAATATGTTATCTCAGGAACAAACAAGACTTTTATGAAGTGTAATTTAAGTCGTTGAGATGTTTAGAACACTCTTGATAAACACTCAATTTAGAGCAAAGTAGTCAGCAAACCGCATTTCAGCCAAATAACATTCCATCGAAAAAATGCCCATTTGGTCAATGTTATTCAGCTCACCAGCTGAATTATGGAAAAGAAAAGTATATGAGAACATCTACTTCAACCAACTTAGTAGAACCAAAAGCTGCTTGTGCTTTTTCTTTAAATGATTACCAAAGCAGAATAACCTAATCAGGCTACTAATTCGGAACATCAGCTAGTCTAAAGCTATATCTGATTATTTTGGGAGTAAGCAGAATAAGCCAGGACATACAACGAAAACGGACCCTCAGTTCTTGTTTGGTTCAGGAGTGTCTGAAGGAAGGGATGAGGAAAGTTACTTTTTACATTTCAAAAATGTCTATCATCGTTACTTTTAAGTTAGAAATATCTATGTAATTAACTAGATTCTCATCTTCACTTCAATTCCAACAGGATAAATATAAGAATTATTTAGAATAGTGATATCAACCCACCCCCTGAAGTCATTGAACCTGACAAACCCCGAAAGTATTAATGCATAGATGCTTTATTACAGAGTAAAAAGTCAACTGAAGAGGTTGGCACGGCCGATGTACTCAAATCCTCCCATACATGGAGCTAAGATTGTTGCCAATGTCGTAGGCAATCCCGAATTCTTCAATATGTGGAAACAAGAGATGGAAATGATGGCAGGGAGGATAAAGAGCGTGAGACAAAAACTTTATGATAGCCTTTGTGCGAAGGATGTGAGTGGGAAGGACTGGTCATATATTCTAAAGCAAATTGGCATGTTTTCCTTTACTGGCCTCAACAAAGCTCAGGTTCATAGTTTTATGTTTGCCCATTTATCTTCCTTTTTTGTTTTTAAAAATATGATATATCTCTTATTGAGTGCTCTCTCTTTTCAAATCAACAATAATCGACATTTAAAGGTTAGGCATACAGATTATAAAAACAAATGAAATAGCATTAAAACTTTCAAAAAGTAGTTATGTGCCTATGCCTAATTAATATTCCTTCCTTCCCAGTAAACTTTGCAAGTTCAGTATTCAATTGGCCAATTCCTTTTTATTTCCTGATCTATTTTGAAATTTAATTTTTGAGACTCAACAGAACATGATAGTGTAGTTTCTAAATATGTAAATTTTTAATATTAATATTGTTCTAAGCTATTCTAGGAGAGAGTGAACTTTTATCACACCTCAAACCTAATAAACTGTAAGTTTGTAGCTGGCAAAGTTTGTAAGGACGGCGGAAGTACTTTTCTTGGAACTATTGGGAAGTATTTTAGTTGAGAATTGAGATAGACTGAGATAGTGAGATATAAACATGGAAAGTTGATGCAAGAACGGTTAGCGTTTAAGAAAATGTATTTTGTCTTTTCAGGATGCATTACGAAGTAATCTAGTAAATGTTGATTTAGGAATATTTGGAAGATCAATGAAAATATTGAATTGAATTCCTAAAATGACAAATTTTTGGGATGGAGTACAAGAGTATTAACTATTAAGTGGTCATCCGAGTTTATAAAACGGAATATACTGTTAACTAAAACTTCTGCCAAAGCCAGTGATGGAACTAAAGGGCAAGTTAATGTTTCTTATTTCTTCTTTTTCATTGCACTTCTATTGTTTGGGTAACCAGAGCGAGAACATGACGAACAAGTGGCACATATACATGACCAAAGATGGAAGAATATCATTAGCTGGGTTATCCGCTGCCAAGTGTGAACATCTTGCAGATGCCATCATTGATTCATACTACAATGTAAGCTAAGGTGATTTAAGAGTGGAAGTACTTTTTCATGGTCAGCCGGAGAGAATTGTTGGCCCGTGCAGTTTTTCCATCAGAGGGTTTAAACAACTGTTGTAATAATAGGTTATTCAATATGAGGGTTCCCTCATCAACTAGAAGAGCAAATGAGTTGAGACATTATAAATAATGTGATAATGTTACGAAGTGAAGAAATTTTGAAACTTGAGACATTCTTGGGTGATAGATATGTCAAACCCCTCAAAGTAATCAGGGAGAAGCCTTCATAGTATTTATTGATCACGTGATAGTATTAGCTAATGAAGGAAGCCTAGAATGTTGATTAATAAGATGGAATGTATATAACCTTAGATATTTAGGATGATGAAGAAACTTAGGATATGTACTTGTAAAACAAAAACATATTTGGTGAATTTTAATCATGTCCTGTAGACACCCAGACATTATGGGTATGCATAGTGCAGGATGGAATGATTTTTTGTTCAGAAAAAAATCAGATACTCCAAACTTTGAAGTGTGAAATGAATGCTTCAAGTTGTGCTCTTGAATCAGTTGAATGTGTAAAACAAATGCCATATATTTTAGTGAAAAATAATTTAAATACTCCAAACTTTGAAAGAGTGAGGTAAATGCATCAAACTTGTACATATGGGTGGACCTGGTCCGGCGGTCTTGTTCGGGTACCCTATTTTTTATAGGTGATCTTAGTACCGCAACTCATATTTTCATTGTTGATTACATTATTTACATACTTTGATTACATTTTCATAACTCTAGCATAACATAGCACGATTGGCTCTTACATTATTCACATACTCTACATTAAGTATATTGTATTTATGAATGCATTAAGTACACTATTTAAATTTTACTCCGTATGACATTTGTATTGGAGTATAATTTTAAATTAACCTACTTTTGTTGAAATCCTAATATAACTTCACAGCAAGCCTAAATGTAACCATTATGAGTTAAACTCCATCTCTTCCCCGACATAATCAAAGCAAAAAAAGGGTATGGTAGTGAACGGGAATCGTCATTGAAACCCTGAGAGGTTCGTAGTGCATAATTAGATCATTTTTATTACTCCTTCCGGTTCTAAAAGATCTTGACACTTTGATTTCACAGTTTTTAAGGAAATAAATTTGACTTTACCGTAGAGGACACTGTTTGACACTGTTTTGTGTAGATTTATTTGCCAAATAAGGCAAATAAGGAAGTGTAAAGATCTTTCTGGTACCGCTAAAAATGGAAAGTGTAAAGATCTTTCAGAACCTGAGAGAGTATACTCCGTATAAATGATCGGATAAAGAATGATGAATGTGGAACAGTGGAAGTCAAAAATCATGTTCAGCTGGAGAGGATTGCTGGTTTCCTAACATGGAGAACAACTAGGAAACACAAATGTGCAGGTTCCAATCGTTGTGGAAGACGAACTATGCATATAAATTAAAATGGTGACAACAGGTGATAATTTAAATATTAAATTGAGGTTGTGTGAAAATGGACAAGACGGTGACAGAGTAAGGGTGGAAAGAAATGTGTGTTGCTTCATAATTGGGATAAGGATCTCCAACTTGGAAAAAAATGTCAAATAAGGCCATATTTAGGATGCTCTGTCCGACCGACGTCATTTAGGGCAGTTTCCGGTGGAATTTTTTGATGAATTTTTTTGAGAATCTTATTCATTAAGTCTAGTTTACTCATATAAAATTTGAACTAAAAGTTCAATCGGTAAGGCATTCAAATGAATTCTTGAAGATAACTGTTCTTTTAACTGCGCAGTTATCTTCAAGAATTCATTTGTATGCCTTCCCGATTGAAGTTTTAGTTTAAATTTGATATGAGTAAACTAGACTTAATGAATAAGATTCTCAAAAAATTTCATAAAAAAATTCCACCGAGAATCGCTCCAATTGGCGTCGGCCGGAAAGAGCATCCTAAATATGGTCTTATTTGACTTTTTTTTTTCAAGTTTGAGGCCCTATCTAACCCTTATCCCTTCATAATTTGACGGAGTCAGTTAGAAACGTGGGATAACTGTTAAAAGATGAAAATGTAAGTTTATAACTTTATTGAAAAAAATGAGCAAGGTTTTCTGAAAGGTAGGCGAATGTCTAAAAGTAATCTAATACCCCTTAGTATTCTATAGTTTGCTACAATAAACCGTGCTACTTATATATGTCTCATCCAAATGTAATTTTTTGTGCATAAACAATTGATTTCAATTTTAGTAAAGGGAGATGTCTGTGTTATTAAAAAATGATTTGTCTGTGCACAGAAAATTAGGGGTCATAGACACTTATCTGCTAAAATTAAAATCAATAGTCTATGCACATACCATTACACTTGACGTGTAAACTGGCGTATACAAGTAACATTTTCTTGTTACAATAAGTTTGACATAACATTTAAGGGAGAAAAGTAGGGTAGTGGATAGTTTAGAAAAAGTATAAGAGATGATAAAATTTATGAAAGAGAAGATGAAAAAGTAGGAAAAAAAGATAATGGAATATTTTTAAAGGGAATTTTTTTAAAAAGGAAAGTGTACTAAAAATTAAAATACACCTAAATAGTGTCATCCCCTTGAACACGCCATTGGCCAACGTGGAAAGAGAGCGTCTATTTTTCTTCAAATTTTGGTTAGCTTTGTCTAGAAAAATTAGGATTATTCTTAGTGTACACACCATTTTGGTGTACACACTTTTACACATGTTTATATATATATATATATTTTATTTGTACAGACAAAACGTGTCAAACAGACATGTCTAAAAGTGTGTACACCAAAATGATGTGTACAAAACGTATTTTTGAAGAAAATATGACCCACCATTTCAGCGCGTCAAAACATTCATCACAATGAGATATTGAAATTCCCTAGCATACATCAATTTTTTTTAAACCTGATCTTTTTTTTCTTGTAATTGTTCATTTTTATATTGTGTGGCTAGAAATGATTAATGAACTAGATCATTTAAAATTTATGGCGCCCATTTGATATTTGAAAATTTTCTGAAAAAAATATAATTGCCCCGAAGACACGAATTTAAGGAGTAACCACTATGATTAAATAAATTCATTTAAGTCCTTGGGTAAATTTATTTACATTAAGAACGGAGAAGGAAATATGAAGGAATTACTCATTACTCACATACTCTCTATGTCCCTTAAAACTTGATCAAGTTTAACTTTTACGAAGATTAATAAAGTAAAAAGTGTGTGATTGATATTTGTGCAGAAGAGAGAGAATTAAATGGAACCACAAAATCTTTACTTAAAAGGGAAAGTGACAAAATTAGTGGGACAACCAAAAAAGAAAAGTTTGACAAAGTTTTAAGGGACGGGGGTATGAGATACTCTCTCCTACCCAATTTTAAAAAGAGGATGTTTGCGATTTTAATGATTTTTTATATGATTTGTCTGATATGGTCTAGTTAATTTAAGTCAATTCTTATCTTATTTGTATGTTTAATCCTGATTCGGTCTGATCTGTTCAAATATGATCTTACTTTTTCTTATACAATATCAATTTTTTTACAATACAAAACAAATACTACGTAATAAACACACAATTATATAGGAAACGAATACCACCAATACAGAGTGCGTATACCGTGCAACCGGTATGCACCGTATACCGGGACGGTTTTATATTTTTTTTCCTTTTGTTTTTAAAAAATGGTTATAACTTTTTTATTTTTGATCCGATTTTTATAAAATTTATATCAACATTTTTTATTTTTCATGATCTTTCAAATGAGACCAATATTGCCTATGTAATTTTAACACATTAACATTTGTGTGTAAAATATGTAACTTTAAGTGTTAAAATATGTAACTCACGTTCAGTCAAGTCAAATGCAACTCGTGTGTATAAATATGTATCTCTACGTGTAACAATATGTAACTTTACGTAAAAAAATATGTAACTCGCATTTAGACAGGTCACATGCAACTCGTGTGTATAAATATGTAACTCGCGTGTATAAATATGCAACTTTACGTGTAAAAATATGTAATTTTACGTGTAAATATATGTAAGTCGCGTTCAGACATGTCAAATGTAACTCGTGTGTATATATATATGTAACTCGCTTATAAAAAGATGTACCTTGCTTATAAAAAGATGTAACTCGCTTATAAAAAGATGTAACTTGCTTATAAAAAGATGTAACTCGCTCATAAAAAGATGTAACTCAATGTATTATCAAATGTAACTGAGGCCACTGATCCACTCCCAAACAGATTCGATCTTCTATTTCACAAACCTATCATCTCCCAAACAGATTCGATTTTTCTTATAATCCAATACTCATTAATATAATAGTTCGATAATTTCTTAAAATTACATACACAATATTGATCTCATTTGAAAGATCATGAAAAATAAAAAATGTTGATATAAATTTTATAAAAACCGGATCAAAAATAAAAAAGTTATTATCATTTTTAATATCAAAAGCAAAAAAAAAAAAAATAAGCTGCGTCGTTTTTGCAACCGGGCGCACCATCCTCATGGTGCGCCGGTTGCACCATATAATTTGCGACCAATACATGTGTGGAACTTTGGCTTCCTCTCACTAAACAAAAGCAAGGGAAGCGTCATCCCTCTCCTTGTGGGAAAATTATACCGTGCAACCGGCGCACCATGAGGATGGTGCGTCCGGTTGCAAAACGACGCAGCTTGTCCCTCTTTTATTTTTTTTTGCTTTTGTTGTTTAAAAATGATAAGAACTTTTTTATTTTTGATCCGATTTTTATAAAATTTATATCAACATTTTTTATTTTTCATGATCTTTCAAATGAGACCAATATTGCTTATGTAATTTTAAGAAATTATCGAACTATTATATTAATGAGTATTGGATTATAAGGAAAATCGAATCTGTTTGGGAGATGATAGGTTTGTGAAATAGAAGATCGAATCTGTTTGGGAGTGGATCAGTGACCTCAGTTACATTTGATAATACATTGAGTTACATCTTTTTATGAGCGAGTTACATCTTTTTATAAGCAAGTTACATCTTTTTATAAGCAAGTTACATCTTTTTATAAGCAAGTTACATCTTTTTAAAAGCGAGTTACATATATATAAACACGAGTTGCATTTGACATGCCTGAACGCGACTTACATATATTTACACGTAAAGTTACATATTTTTACACGTAAAGTTACATATTGTTACACGTAGAGATACATATTTATACACACGAGTTGCATTTGGCCTGACTGAACGTGAGTTACATATTTTAACACGTAAAGTTACATATTTTACACGCAAATGTTAATATGTTAAAATTACATAGGCAATATTGGTCTCATTTGAAAGATCATGAAAAATAAAAAATGTTGATATAAATTTTATAAAAAACAGATCAAAAATAAAAAAGTTATTACCATTTTTTAAAAACAAAAGGAAAAAAAAAATATAAATCCGTACTGGTATACGGTGCTCACCGTATACCGGTCGTACGGTATAAGCACTCTTCCCTGTGACGTTAATTCAGACTTACATACTTAAAAGTGTATTTAGTTATGATTACAAA